GCCGGAGCCCAGCAAGTCAAGGCTGCGGTGGCCAGGAGCGGCCACTGCACTCTAGTCTGGGCAACAGTGAGACTCCGACTCAAAAAAAAAGAACAAAAAGTATGGTTGACTTTTTTTTTTTTTTTTTTTGAATCGGAGTCTCACTCTGTCGCCCAGGTTAGAGTGTAGTGGCACACTGATGGCTATCACTGCCTCGATCTGCTGGGCTCAGGCGATCCTTCCATCTCAGCCTTCCAAGTAGCTGGAACCACAGGCACATGCCATCACGTCCAGCTAATTTTTTGATTGATTATAGAGATGAGGTCTCACCATGTTACTCAGGCTGGTCTTGAACCCTTGGGCTCAGGCAATCTTCTTGCCTCCCAGTGTGCTGGGATTACAGGCATGAGCCACTACGCCCGGCTGACTTTTGACATTTTCAAATGAGAGACTTACATGGACTTTTAAATTCACAAACACCATCTTCATCTTCATAAAGCAATAAAAGTACAACAGGAAAATGAAGCGGCTCAATTATTTTAACTAGTTTATTAAAAAAAAGATTAATTCCTAAGTTATAAACCCACTGAAATAAGTGTTGGCCAAGACTTCTGCTGGGTCAATTTCACAGCTCAGTTTGGTTTCCACATGGAGCAGAAGGTGGCTCATTCCTATTATGGATCCTACCCCTGCCAAAACTGAGATTCTACTCTCTAGTTTGTTGAAAACATCTGTTTTCTGGCACAGAATCATCACTTTATCTTAAACACCTCTACTGTCTCTTCACTTATATCACCAGGTCTAGCATCTGAATCTCTCTTCTGACTACTTACAAAAATAAAGTTTTTAACACTTTCTGAGAATTACTACGTATATGACATGAAAGCTTCTATTACCTAAGCAATTTAGATTTGTGCCTGAGCACATATTAAGTAGAAACCGTTATATGCCATGGATCTTCAATCATACTTGTAACTTGCCGAATCTTCAGCTATTAAACCCATTTAGGCCCAAGATCTACTGTAAATCAAAAGGTATAAAAATAACTTTGTAAGATTCAAACTCATGGTGATACTACACTATAACCTGGAAAACATGTCCTTACCCCTAAAGCAGAAAGTTCCCCTTCATCATTCAAACCACACATAAGCCTGTAAGTGCAAAAGGAGCAGTGGTACATGCCTGCAGTTCCAGCTACTTGGGAGGCTGAGGTAGGAGGCTCTCTCCTGAGCCCAGGGGCTTGAATCCAGCCTGGGCATCATAGCAAGACCCTGTCTTCCAAAGAAAAACAAACAGCCAGGTAGCTCATGCCTGTAATCCCAGCAGTTTGGGAAGCCTGAGCCCAGGTGTTCAAGACCACTCTGGGCAACTTGGTGAGACCTCATCTCTACAATAAATCAAAAAATTAGCAGAGCATGGTGGTGTGCACCTGTAGTCCCAGCTACTTGGAAGGCTGAGGTGGGAGGATCACCTGAGCCCAGCAGGTCGAGGCTGCAGTGGCCGCAAGCATGTCACTGCCCTCTAGCCTGGGCAACAGAGTGAGATTCCAACTCAAAAAAAAAAAAAAGAAAGAAACAAAAAGACTCCCAAAACATACCTATACTATTTCAAATTTGATAGGTGTTTTCTTTGTATCAGAGTAATTTAGGCACTATAAGATCAGTAAAACTTGAAAATTGAGGTCATAATAGTGATAGATTACCAAAGAGGTACAAAACAGAAAGGTAATAAGCTACAATAACATACTCAGTAAAATCAGAATTTACATTCTTAGGTAGGCTTATGATAGATGAAATAAACAACCTGGTGTGTAATTTTTTTTTTTTTTTGAGTCATGTCACCCAGGCTGGAGTGCAGTGGCATGCTAACAGCTCACCAGAGCCTTGACCTCTTGGACTCAGATGATCCTTCCACTCAGCCTCCCATGTAGCTGGGACTAGAGGTGTGCACCACCATGCCAGGCTAATTTTTTGAGTTTTTGAACAGATGATATCTTTCTATGTTGCCCAAACTGGCCTTGAACTCATGGGATCAAGCAATCCTCCCGCCTCTGCCTCCCAACGTGCTAGGATTACAGGCATGAGATACTGTGCCTGGCCAGTATCTGTAATTTTTGGTGTGTAATTTTCTTTAAAAACCATGTCTACTATGTTCTAGACACTCTACTCGAAATTTCCACATTAAATTCCACTGTAACAAAATAACAAAGTGTCTCAAAAACCTGAAAAGTCCCAGAGGATGCCAACAGAATAAAACCAAGAGTATAAAATTATTTACATATACTATACCTACTTTCAATAGGTGGTTTTGGTCCACTGACTAAAGCTTCTGTGATCTGAGAGGCAACTGAGCTGTCAAATCCAGAATTAGAAGAATCCGGGTCTGGGTCACTGAGAATACTAGGGAAGCTAGCTTTACTTTGTGTTGGCAATTCAGACTGGCGTTCTGAAAAAGTTTAAAATAGGAGACATTTTAAAGTTAAGGATACCACAAGGAGAGTAAAAAGACAAGCTGTCAACTGAGGAAAGTTACCTGCAATACATAAAAACAAGGGGCCAGAGAGAGAGAATAAAAGATAGCAAGTCCTCAATTAACATCGATAGGTTCTTGGAAACTGACTTTATGTGAAATAACATACAACAAAACCAATAATTTTTTTCTCATCAATGTAATAATAAAGCAACATTGAACAAAACAATGTTATTCGAGAACCTGCTATACACTGTTTCTCTTAAAACGGTTACCAAGAACCTATCAGGGATATTACTGAGGACTTACTCTATATACATTGTTAAACTCCTAAAATTCTTAAAAATTAAAAACTCAGAAGGAAAAATTAAAACAATAATTTAAAAAGAAATTTTACCTAAAAAGCTTGAGTGGCTAACAGACATCTAAAAAGTTGTTTAATCCCATTAGGAATCAGGGAAGTTAATTTAAAACACAAGATACCATCAATACCATTACATAGCCACCAGACTGGCAAAAATTAACAAGCCTGACTAAAGCAGAAGAGGATGTAAGGTAACACATGCACTGAAATGAAAAATGGCGACTCTGGAAAACAATGTGGCATTACCTTGTAAAGTTCACATGTACATAATCTTTCTACCTAGAAGAAACACTTTTACATGAGCCCCAGAAGAATGTACAGGAATGTTCACAGCAATACTGTCCTCATCAATAAAGTGTTTAAAGAGCCTGGTATTCCACTCCATGAAAACACCACCATAGCAATGAAAGGCAATCATGCAGTGGTCTGCCATCAACATGGACTGATACTCAAATGATGCCCGAGAGGAGGAAAGCAAAGAAGAATGGACATAGTTCGACTTCATATGAATAAAATCAAGGGTATGCAAAGTGAAAGTGCAGGCATACACAGAAGGGAAGGCTATAAAGCAAACTGAGGATGATCATCACAAAAACCAGGTTGGTCACGGGAGCAGCAATTGGGAGAAACACACCAGGAGCCTCTAGGTGCTGAAAATATTCGATTTCTTAACCTGGATGGAGGCTATTCCAGGTTCACTTAATTATAATTCTTTAAAATGCAATGCATGCTTTATGAAGGATCCTATTTCAGATTTTGTCATTTTAAAAACACAGAGGACTAAATTCCTAATTAAAGAGCTGCAAAAATCAGTAAAAGACTACCAACCTGGTGAAAAAATGGTCAGAGACATATGAAAAGATGCCTCAGACATATGAGATGTTCAATCGCATTCATTTAATAAGAAAAACACTAACAAAAATGATCCCATATGCCATTTTTCATCTCAGACTGTTGAAGTACAAAAAGTTAGATAACATACTATTGACCAAGATGGAGGAAAAAAATGTTACACAGGCAAATGGTGTGGTAAACTAACAAGTAGTAGGTCTTTGTCAGGAATAAATAATAAAAATCAAAACCTCTGCAATGAACACTGTCTCTGTTAACTCTTTGTGGCCACTCTGTTTGACCTATCTGCTTGTTTTCTTTAAGAAAATACCAACTGCATCCTCCATAAACACACCCTTGGTCCATGGACCCCACTGTTAAGAACGTGAATTTTGGCCGGGCGCGGTGGCTCACGCCTATAATCCCAGCACTTTGGGAGGTTGAAGGGAGGAGATTGCCTGAGCCCATGGGTTCGAGACCAGCCTGGGCAACTTGGCAAGACCTCATCTCTACAATAAATAAAAAAAATTAGCCAGGCATAGTGGCACACACCTGCAGTTCCAGCTACTTGGAAGGCTGAGGCGGGAGGATCACCTGAGCCCAGCAGGTGGAGGCTGCGGTGACCATGAGTGTGTCACTGCACTCCAGTCTGGGTGACAGAGACTCCAACTCAAAAAAAAAAAAAAAGAATGTGAATTTCAGGCCTCCACAGTGAAGATCGGGATGGCCAGCTCCAGAGCAGAGAGGTATGTTTACTTTTTTTTTTTTTTTTTTGCACCTGTGCAAATGAATGCACCAGGACAACCGCAATCTGGGGAGGACAGGAAGCAGCAAGCTTAGCCACTCTGCCCAGCTTCTCAGTTCTTGCTCTAGGCACATACTCCTTTCTTCACTTGATAGCGAGCCTCCCACCTCAGCTGGGATTACAGGTGGAAGTCACCATGCCCGGCCTCAATTTCAGACCTTAGTACAAAGCTGTAATAATCAAAATTGTGTGGTCCTATAAAGGCAAACATGTGGAGCAGTGGAATAGAATAGAAAGCCCCAAAATAAACCCTTGCATGTATGGGCAAATGATTTTCAACAAGGATGCCAAGAGAACACTGTTTTGGTTATTCAGGGTCCCTGGAGATTCCTCTAAATTTGAAGACAGATTTTTCTATTTTTGCGTAAAACACTGTTAGAATTCTGACAGGAATTGCACTGAATCTGTAGAGCTGTTTGGGGTAGTACTGGCACCTTAACAAACCATCTTCCAATCAGGATCAAAAAGAAAAACACTAAACTTTATTCTTCTAGAATTGGAAAAACCATCAAGTGAAAACGCAAAATGAGTTTATATTGCTATATTAGCATCCAAAAATGAAGTCTTCCATTTAGGATCCAGTACTGAAACTACTTTCTTAAATGGAAGATACTCATATCTTAGCCCAGTTACAAAGACTGCCATTTTAAACAGAGTACCTAACAGTACCACACAAGAATGCCCAAAGCACTGATTCATCCTTACCAGCCAAGGCTAACTGAAGCCCACTAATGTCCACAGACTGGCCCATGTTCCCGACATCCATCAAGGCAATCTGGCGAGGTGTCTTTTTGAAGAGTTCCCTTGGGGGTGCCAGCATCAGCTGGGAAAGAAAAAACTTTTCTGGTGGAGTTATAGGAGGTAAAAATCCTGCAAACAAAAACGTATAACGATTTCTCCAATGTTTACTTTTAAAAACTAACTTGACTCTGGTAAAATCAGCATTTGCTACTTGCACTTCAACCCACATATTTTGAAGGACTGAATTAAAATTAAGTTTCAGTCAAACACATAAAGACATTTGTGAAATATGACATTTGAAATTCTAGGATCTCTACTACTATCAATGAAACTTAAGGTTTTTGTGACTATCAAGAACTTCATTTTCTGAAGTTCCTCAATTCCTGCAGAGGCTAAAGCTTACACATACAATTAACTACAGATGGTAACAATGACAGTGCTCAGAAATGTTCCTTCTTCTCTACCACCAGTGTAGAAGCTGAATAAAGAGAAGGAAGCAGTCAGCAGCAAAGCAAACACACTTCCCATGCCTGATTCAGGACTTACTGAATACAAAATACAGAATGGTACAAAATTCCCACAACACTGTACGTTCCTTCCCTTTTGGCCCATATTCAATTTCTCCCCAAGCCTCGTCTCTCCTACCACCAGGCCGCGTTCCCTCAGCACCGTCCTCACTTCCTTCTTCTTTGGCCCGGACCACAGGACAGTCTTCCCGATTCCCCCGGCTCCCTGTTTTGACTCCTGCCCAACCACTGCCACCCTTACAATTTAGTTATGTTGGTAAAGTACAGATCTGGTATTACTTAGCCTCTTTACACAGAATTAAGCCTAAACTTCTGTAACATTACAAAACCCTTCATAATCTGGCTCCAATCCACCTTCCTAATCTCACCTCTTGACCTCCCCTCCCATCCACATCCCCTATACTCCAGTTGCACAAAACCCTTCAGCTTCTACACCCAGTTCTTAAACAGCATCCAGCAGAGCCACACCCTTCCCTCCCACCCCCATTCCTAATCAACATCCAGCTCCCTCTGACAATCTCTCTAGCTCCACAGTTAGCGGTTCTTTACTTTTGGATCCAACATCTAGTACAGTCCTCACCACGCTGTTATGACTGTTTATCTCCCCAACCGCACTGCAAGCTTCTTGAGCGCAAGGAAGCCATCTTTCTTACTTCAGATGTATTCTCAGCCCTGACTCTGCTCAGAGTCATCTGAAAAGTTTTCTGAAAACATATCCACTAATTGCTCACCATAAACGTGCAATGTCAGAAGCTCCAGGAACGGGGCTTTGACACACTCTATCCCTACTTATTAACAGTAATGACACTAATGGGTAATACTTACAGGCACATTTATTCTTTGTAACAACTCTATCAGCTAAGAACGATTACATTTTACATTTTACAGATGAGAAAACAGGCACAAAAAGGTTAAATAACCATTTATGGATTCCTTCTCTGGCAACTGCCTCCCCTCATCAAGTTTGTGTTTACAAATCTGTGTTGTCTACAGAGTAGATGTAGGTTCACAAACACTGCATTTGAGAATTACACTATGTAAGTCAAGATTCCTTTGTCTCACTGGCCCTTCAGCATTCAAAGGTCCCTCTGACCTAAATCCCACACTTGTCCTAATCCTCAAATATGAGCACTCTGGGGTGGTGAGTTTTGACCACACATCTATGCGTTGCATTCATTTTGGGGGCAGTCATAAACTTTCTGAAAGCCAGGTTAAGAATGTATACATTAAGGCATCTCCGTCCAACATAAAGGTTGTCCTTCTTAGATAAGGGGACTGCAGGAAACCAATCAGAAGATCCAGATGGGTTGCCGGGCTGGAACACCAGCTGAAAATGTCCTTCTGTGCCATTAAAACCCTGGTGTTACCTCAAATCCTGCTGTCTTCACCTTGACTCACTATACTGGCCCTACCTCTAGAGTGACTTGCACTCTCTTCCAGGGTTAAGGACCGTAACATCAAATTGTTTCTCACTCGTACTACCTGCTTCCCCCACTACACTGTTCCCTCTCAGGCCCTTTGTCACCATCCCTTCTGCGTTTTTCTCTTCTTTTGACTGCAAACCTTCTAAAGTAAATCCTCAAAAAGCATCCCCTGCTTGAGTTTAGAAACAACAAAAAAGCCAGCGCGGTGGCTCATGCCTGTAATCCCAGCACTTTGGGAGGCCACGGTGAGAGGACTGCCTGAGCCCACCGGTTCAAGACTAGCCTGGGCAACATGGTGAGATCTCGTCTCTACAATAAATCAAAAAATAAGCCAGGCGTGGTGGCGCATGCCTGCAGCTCCAGCTACTTGGAAGGATCGCCTGAGCCCAGCAGTTTGAGGCTGCAGTGGCCGTGAGCGTGGCACCGACTGCACTGCAGCCTGGGAGACAGTGAAACTCCAACTCAGAATAAAACAAACAAAAACCCAACGACAAAAAGAATGCAGCCTCGCTCTAACCTACTACTCTGATCTCATCAATGCCGCACAACGGCAAATGCATTTTACATAATGTCCAGTAGTCACACGTTTCCTGTGAGACCTCTCAGTTTGAGACTACCTTCTATCCTCTGCCCACCACATTGTCCAGGGACGCCTAAGAGACCAAGGAAGACGCTGCAAGGTCTTTACCCAGTGTTTGATGTGCATTTCTCTCCAACAACTCTGGGCCCTTTTTTCTTTGAGTTGGAGTCTCACTCTGTCGCCCAGGCTGTAGTGCAGTGACACACTCCCGGCCACCGCAGCCACGGCCTGCTGGGCTTAGGCGATCCTTCCGCCTCAGCCTTCCAAGTGGCCGGAACCACAGGAGCGCGCTGCCACGCCCGGCTAACTTTCGCGATTGACTGCAGAGACGAGGTCTCGCCAAGTTGCCAGGGCTGGTCTCGAACCCCTGAGCTCAGGCAATCCTCTCACCTCGGCCTCCCAAAGTGCTG